TTTGTTTTTAATTGGTTTCCTTCATCGGTTTCATTTCAAATGTTTTACGGGGACCAGCGTTTCTAATTTTTATTAAATACTTCGCGAAATTTCTAAAGTCTCACAAAATACAAGACAAATTTTCAGCATAACAGCATTCCTGTAACGACAAAATGCGCAGACAACATTGGGCACTGACACTATTTTCTGGTGAAGAAACAACGAAAAGAAGGACGAGCAGCATTATTTTTTCGGCGTCCGGTCGATATCCCAAACGTCCGGTAAAAAATCTTTTTTCCGGTATTTCATGGCGTCAATCATTAGTGCGATGGCATTGGATCGATTATAGGTGAGAAAATCGTATAAGCTACCAGTGATGCCCGCTTCACTTTTCGCCCGCGTTACGGCCAGATCAATGGCTTTCTCGATTGCATGATGGGCTTCCTGCTCCTGCTCGCGAGCCCCTTTTCCGGCGAAATACAGTCGGATTATTTCATTCTCCCTCTCAGTTTTGGCGCCGCTGTTAAGCAGTCCTTTGGCCCGGATAATTTCCAGTGCCTGGCAGGCAGGTCCAGACACAATCACCGGCTCATCGTCATCCAGCATACCTTCAGTGCTGGCCACCACTTCTTTCTTGTTCTCAGAAGTCGCTTGGGATGGAACCTGTGCTGCGACTTTTCCTGGTACCATAAACTTAAATACTACAGCTGGCGATTCAGAAGACTCACTGGTGGCTGGCGAAGGTGTATTTGGTGTTACCTGCGTTTCCGGAACCACCTCCTTCTTGGCTGCTACTTTCTCTTTCTTGAATATCATCCCTTCCTTCTTGACTAGCGCCTCCTTCTTGACTGCCACCCCTTCCTTTTTGACCGACGGCTCCTTCTTTACTGGAGACTGCTTTTTCACCGGCACCACTCCTTTCACAGGCTCCTTTTCTTTCTTCGGGCGTACCACTTCCCTCACTGGTTCCTTCTCCTTCTTCGGCTGCGCAACCTTCTTCGCCGATCCCTCCTTTTTCTCACGCGTTGCTTCCTTTTTCGTTACCTCTTCTTTCTTGAGACCTACAGAGTCTTTCTTCAACGGTGGTAGATCCTTGCTAGCTGTCGCTTTTGTTCTGGAAAGAATAAGGAGTATTAATAATATGCAAGGAGCATAGCATGCAGAGATCATACAAAAAAAAAACTAAAAGACTTACTAATTAGCAGAGAGAGCAAGATTACACAAGGAAATAAAAAACAAAAAAAAA